TTGAAGTATATATGTATTGTGTATTTGCGTCGCAATTCCTCTTTTATGCAAGTTTCGTTGAAAATGACTGACAAGTTTCTGTGGTTGATTTTTGTTTTTATAGAATTTCTCACGTGTTCCTATATATATTTTTTTCTGGCCATATATTACGTAAAACTTGTCCGAATGTTTTCCTGGCGATTTCGGCTATAGTTTTAGCCATCATTTAAGGTATATCTAATGGAAGCATTATTAATAAAAAAAGAAAAAGAAAAAAAAAAGGTCGACATTCAATAATATCAAGCATGATCACGGCCACAATCTGCTGACTCTAAATCTAGATACATATATAAAACAATTCATATATTCAATTACAAGTAAAACAAAATTTATCCTTGATAATGGCTAAAAGTATAGCCAAAGGCGCATGGAAAACATTCGGCCAATTTTTCTATAATTTATGGCCTGAAAAGAACAAATCATACGAACACATGGGAAATTATATAAAATAAATCAACCACATCCTCTTGTCAGTCGTTTTCAACAGATCTTATATATATATATATATATATATATATATATATATATATATATATATATATATATATATAGTTTGTCAGTCATTTTTCAACGAAACTTATATATATATATATATATATATATAAAATAATATATATATATACATATATATATGTGTGTATATATATATATATATATATATATATATATATATATATATACAATGTATCACAAAAAGTGAGTACACCTCACATTTCTTCAAATATTTAAGTATATCTCTTCATGGGACAGCACTGAAAAAAAATTACCTTTTGACACAATGAAAAATAGTCTGTCTGCAGCATATATAACAGAGTTAATTTCTTTTCCCCTCAAAATAACTCAAAATATAGCCATTAAAAGCTAAATCCCTGGCAACAAAAGTGAGTACACCCATAGGTAACTATACCCCTAAATGTCTAAATTGAGTTCTGCTTTTCATTTTCCCTCCAAAATATCATGTCACTCATTAGTGTAACCATGTCTTCATGGGAAGCAGGTGTATTCAAATTTGTAGTGCAGCTCTAACACTCTCTCTTACCGGTCACTGAAAGTTCCAACATGGCACCACATGGCAAAGAACTCTCTGAGGATCTTAAAAAACGTATTGTTGCACTACATAAAATGGCCAAGGCTACAAGAAGATTGCCAACACCCTGAAACTGAGCTGCAGTACAGTGGCTAAGATTATCCAGCATTTTAAAAGAGCAGTGTCCACTCAGAACAGGCCTCGGGTAGGTCGTCCAAAGAAGCTGAGCGCACGTGCTGAGCATCACATCCAAATGCTTTCTTTGAAAGATTGGCGTTGGAGTGCTGTTAGCAGTGCTGCAGAGATTAAAGATATTGGGATTCAGCCTGTTAGTGTTGAGACCATATGCCGCACACTACATCAAATTGGTGTGCATGGCTGTCACCCCAGGAGGAAGCCTCTTCTGAAGGCAATACACAAGAAAGCCCGCAAACAGTTTGCTGAAGACATGTCAACAAAGCCCATAGATTACTGGAACCATGTCCTATGGTCTGATGAGACGAAATTTAATTTGTTTGGTTCTGATGGTCTTAAGCATGTGTGGCGGCGACCAGGTGAGGAGTACAAAGATAAGTGTGTCATACCTACAGTCAAGCATGGTGGTGGGAATGTCATGGTCTGGGGCTGCATGAGTGCTGCAGGTATTGGAGAGTTACATTTCATTGAGGGAAACATGAACTCCAACATGTACTGTGAAATACTGCAGCAGAGCATGATCCCCTCCCTCCAGAAACTGGGTCGCAGAGCAGTGTTCCAGCATGACAATGACCCCAAACACAAATCCAAGACAACCACTGCTTTACTGAAGAGGCTGAGGGTAAAGGTGATGGACTGGCCAAGCATGTCTCCAGACTTGAACCCAATAGAACATCTTTGGGCCATCCTCAAGCAGAAGGTGGAGGTGCGCAGGGTCTCAAATATCCGCCAGCTCCGCGACGTCGTCATTGAGGAGTGGAAGAGCATTCCAGTGACTACCTGTGAAGCTCTGATAAACACCATGCCCAGGAGAGTAAAGGCAGTTTTGGATAATGATGGTGGCCACACAAAATATTGACAGTTGACATGTTGTATGTTAATATTGGCAACTTTTCCTAAGGGGTGTACTCACTTTTGTTGCCAGGGATTTAGCTTTTAATGACTATATTTTGAGTTATTTTGAGGGAAAAATAAATTAACTCTGTTATATATGCTGCAGACAGTGTACTTTTCATTGTGTCATTTTGTCAGTGTTGTCCCATGAAGAGATATACTTAAATATTTGAAGATATACCACCGAACAATATATCATAAAACTTTCAGTCCATACCTATCCTTATCAAGATATTGATAAAATGTTTTATTTTTGCTGGGTAGGGTATAAGTCAGTTTCGATTATGCAGAAACACAAAGTGAAACATGAATTTTTTTAATTTTTAAATTGGATTAATATTTAATTTTAATATTTTCACGTTTCATTGGGTCACTTTCCATGATAAACTTTTATTCTTCTCCTTCGCCTTCTTCTTCGAGACATAGACGGTTAAGACTCTCCACAGCTTTCTATTTCATGTGTCCCCCTTAGCCGTTTTTATTTCTTTTCTAACCCGTTCCTCGGCACCTCGGCGTGATGTAATAAATAGCAAGCTTGTCGACTGAAAAGCGAGTTTGATCCTCACTAGGTACCCCCAACTTTCGGCCTTGTGCCACATCTTAGCTACGCTTAGAAAATACCCCCCTACACACCTTACTAAACCTATCCGTCATTCATTCACACATTCTCGTCGGGTAAGTGGTTCACTGCCTTCCTCTATTTCTCTTGCTCTCAATATGTCCCGTCAGGGTTAAGTTTTCAAAGCCCTCCTTCCTCTTTATATATCCAAGGAATTTCAGCTGTTTTTATTTTTTTTCCTCATTCTGAGTACAAGTTTTCTTTCAGCTGTCATTTTCTCGAAGACTTCCTTCTTCCTTATCCTTGCTTATTCATTCCATCTATGCAATTTTCAGTATCTTTCTCTAGAACTACATTTCTAATGCCTCTATTTTTTTTCCTCAACCTTAGGGAAATTGTTGAACATTAATTCTGTTGGTTTAGCTAACTTTATTACTGATTCGACAGCACCTTAAATGCAACAGATTTGATTGCTTCGCAGAGCCACTTTTGTATATTTTTCTATTGTCATCTACATATGTTGTAATTAAGTAGAAGTTATTATATCAATATCTGAAAGAGCTGATGGGCATTATCATAATTTTGTTTCTCTGAAAATTTTTTTGACAAGGTGAGAAATTCTTTTGCTGAATCTCTTGCATACTTACACGTTTTGTCTGAAATATTCTTGGTTGTACAAGGTATCACTCGAAAGATTCTTTTTCAAGTTCTTACAAGAATGTTATATATTAATTCGACGTAAACATCACGGTAGATAGCAACCTATAAATTTGCTGCCTTCTATACTAAGAGTGAACATTACTTCATGTTATAGAGTAGTTTCACAGTGGAGGCTTGTATTTCACTAAGTCGGTCCTAAAATAGGTTCGGCGTACAAAACGTTAGGAACTTGTTATAATAGTTAATGACGCAGCAATCTAATTGTGGTGGCTGATACTTTAATGTCCGACATCGACTGACTCAACAACTCCCCGAGCTCCTTCGCGACTGCTACTACTACTCATTATATGTGGGAGAGTCTATTAACAATAGAATAGGTATGTTCCAGTATAACACTTCACCACATCATTGTTGTACAACTCTTGAGTTGTATAAACTCCAACAACAGAAAATAGGTTTGTCTATATCTTTGAGATGAGGTATTGTGATTACTTACATTATTCGGTTTATTATCCTCATCTTCATTGCCATATTCACAACGTTTCTGTCGTTGTAGGCTCCGACTTTCTTCAGTTGATTGGAATTTCGAACCGAACCCTTTATTTCGTTCACTGGGATATATTGTTCTGGTTCCACGTGCCACACCTCTTCCGGATGTCTCAGTTATTTCCCTTTAACTCAACTCTGCATGTTTGGTTCACCACTGCTGTGGCCTGATAATGAACTCTCAACTCTTTGGGTCTAGGTTATTGGATCTAACCAACGTCTTTATCCACTGGGCAATATGTCCTTAATGTTGGTTAGATCCAGTGATTAGACCCAAAGATTTTGTGAGTTCATTAATCAATCTACCCCGGTGAACGAAATAAAGGGTTCGGCTAGAAATTCATGTTACCTGAAGAAGGCCGGAGCGTAGAGCGACTGAAACGTTGTGAATATGGCATTGAAGATGAGGATAACAATTCCTAGTAATGTAAATAATGGAAGCAGCAAATATGTCATTGCAAATATTTATTATAAGATCAAATCTAAATTGAAATTTATACACTATATTTGTCATATAAATATAACTTGAAAATTGTACCAAAATCGGTTGGGTAATACGAATGTTATCTCGAAAACATTGATTTCCTTAATAAAATCTTATATAGAACAATATTAAGAGAATCAGTAGACATATTTGTTCTGCATTGAAACGCGTACTAGGATTTTCCCATGAGCCAACAAAGTATGATAATACATGAGACTCCGACAGAGAGTGCACATTTGGAAAAGCGAGACGAGGGTGGGGAGGAGAAGAATCGCCAATCGCCATGCATGGCTGCCTGTCAAGGTGGATTTTCCCGCGTTGATGATGACCTTTCCACACTGTGCACACCACAGCGATGGAAAATTCAAGCTCTTGGCCACAATATGGCGGGCGCCGATCTGCGTTTTTATTGGCCATTTCGCATCATAAGCAACTGTCTGTTCGTCTCCGTTGGATGCGAGGAGCCGTAGAAAAAAACTACAGGCGTCTTTTTCGCAATTGTGCGTCACCGTAAACATGGAGTCGTCCGAGCGTGACGCGATGTCCCTCAATTGTATTTAGAGCAGTTCGATTAAGCCGATTTACCGAAGCGTTTTATGCTGAATTGGGAAGATCGGGATGGATTTCGAGATTATTATTTTTTAATTTTTACTTTCTTTCATAATGTGTCTACGTTTTATTTTTTTTTTTTTTTTTTGTCATCACTTTTCTATTATATTCTCTTCTTAAAAATTCTTTATGGTGATTTTTACTTTCTGTTTCATGATATAGCTCTTTCTTTTTATTTTCGATTTTCTTTGTTCTGTCTACCAGAATCAATTTCGTTTCTTTCTTTTTCATTTTTTTTTTTTTTGGCTTTCTCCTTTATTCTTTTTCTTTCGTTAACTGCGTTTTTATTCCTATACGCTTTACTCATGTGTTTAAATGCTTTTTCTTCGTCTTTTTGTGTAACAATTCATTTGCCGTTTTTCTTATTTGTTGATATTTTATTTTTACCTTGTGATAATTACTTACAAATAAGCCTTCCTTCATTTTTCTATGACTTTAGTTTTTCTTCACATTTTCTTTACCCTTTTTATCATTTACGTTCATTTTACATTTATTCGAATGGCTTGGTTTTATTATTTCTTCCTTTTATTATATTATTCTTTTTAATAATTCCCTATCGTTGCATTTCGTCTTTTTACAAATATTTTTTTCTTCATAACATGAAATGTTTTTTACAATTCCTTTTCCTTAACATATCATGTGCTTCTTTTACAATTCACTTTCTTTTTCCTTATGTAATAAATTCTTTTTACAATTTATTTTCTTTTCCCTTGCCATGA